GAGTGGCCCCTCCTGGCTGATGTCGTGGAGGAAAGGTGGCCACTGGCAGGTCCTCGGGCCTGCTGGGGTGATGCCACGGCCCCCGTGTCTGGAAGGGGCCCACGTCCCCCCTTCGCACAAGAGGGAGCTGCTCAACAGCTCTGCTGGACCCGCCTGCAAGCTTGCCTGAGGTTGGCGCGTCAGTTCTCCAAATGCATGAAAATTGTGTAACTGTACACCGCCAGCCCTTGCTATTTGAAACTAGGTAACGCTTTCTCGTTGTAGGCCTTCACAGCAGTACAGGTGAATCCCAAACCTTCATTTTTAATTGGTACCAGCAGCACTGCCTGAAGAGTTTTCTGCTGTAGAATGGTAATCCTCCTAAAGCTCATGCTCCTCATTCAAGTCTGTGAGCCTGAATTTCAGAAAGTGGCATAAACTTGTATTTATCTACAAATGCAGTTGCCCAGTTATCACAACTACAACGGAGGAGTGCCAAGGAGATGGATGGGTGAAGCCTAAAACAAATGTAGATTTAGGCATCTTTGATATGCCCTAATGAGCTTTGCAAAGAAGTTTTGCTCATGTGCGATGTTGGCTTTACATGAATGCCCTTTAATGCTAACACAGTGAAGTCCTCCATCACGACTGCATTTAAGTGACATAACCTGATCTTTTACTGCTGTGTCTGCTGTGTTATAACGACAAAGACCAAGCAATCTGTGTCTGATTTCAACAGAAACAAAACCCAATTTCATAAAACTATCAGCTTTATTGATTTACTTTTATTTATGCAAGTTGGTCTGTTCCAGTGGGTTTTAATTACTGTTCTGTCTACTTAAGCACGTTTACATTTTCAACCAGCTTCTGCTCCCCTTATTCATCTTGACCAGGACACGAAGTGACCTCATTCTCCAGCTGTGGCCAGTTACATCACAAGCGACTCTGCTTTTGGAATAACACACTACAGATGTCAATACTGCATATTTCTATCTTAAATTACTGAAATTGGAGGCATGGATTCTCAATGGTGGTAAGTAGTTTATCACTATAAGGAATGATTCAGAAAGGAATTGTTCTGCACAACATATTAAAAATTATTTGGAAATTACATTGTTTCTCTCCCTTAGCAGCCTGCCAAGTTGCAGACCCACTAATCACTGCAATTTCTACTGTTCCTTTCATCAAAGTAGTGGGAGCAACTGTTTATAATTATAAGCACCTCACACAGCAAGCGGAAATTTTTTTGGCAGCAAGCCTGAAGAAATACATCATTGTATTTATAAAGAGAACAAGTTAAAAAATATAATACAAACACTCTTTAAAGAAAGTAACAAGGAAGTGTATCAGTTGAAGAAAATACAGGACCTAGACTGGAACAAACCTCCTTGTTTTGTTCCAGTCTAGTATGTCTTACACAGCCGATTAGTTGCTGTTTAAGACATACTTCAGTACCAAATAATTAAACTACACACAAAGACTACTTTAAATTACATATATGTTGTTTGCATATCTCAATTCAAAGCACAGTCATATGAGATAAGTATGAAAAGGATGTTGAGAGGTCATCTATTCTGTTTTTCTGCTCTACGACAAGATCGACTCTACATAAATGATTCCTGACATACTTGTCTAACCTGCTCTTTATAGTGACAGTGATGTAGAATTCACAGCATTCCCAAGCAATCTGTTCCAGTACTTTGCTCTCTTTGTAATCTGAAAATGGTAATCTAAGGTTCAACTTAGCTTCTAGTTAAATTGTTAAGTCTTTTTTCAGCTCACAACAGACTCCCAATAGCCTTCATGATCTGGACCCAGGTCTGAATGAGCCACTGAAGCGAGTCACAGATCACGTCTGCTCTGAGGTCACCTGCCCAAGTCCTGAGCTAATTTATTTAGAACGACAATTAAAGATTAAGGAGGGTAAGACAGATCAGTGTCCCAACATGCTGATCCTTACAGCTTACGCAAGTTTAGCTTATTTCATACAAAAATCTGTCTAATGAAAATGCAGGATAATATCCACATAGATTTCCTGTTCTGGATAGGATAAGGTTTTCAGTCTTTTCACTGTCAAACTTAAAGGACCTAGTTTGTAATTACAGTGTTTCCTTTGTCCCTAATAGCATTAAATCTCACTACCCAGAAGGCATCTGTACCAGTATTTGCTTCCATTTCTCTTCTTTGTGATAAGAAAACAGTTGTGATGGTCAAAGTAATTGAATTCATCCAGAGACACTTGGAAGTTTCCTGTGCAGTTTTTCTTTGCAGCTATCTAAATGGAGATAATTGAAAATCAGAAAGGCAAGCAGGACTAAACATCTCCTCAGCCATCTGTATTTGTTCTGTCTCCTTTGTAGACAGTGAATGTCACTTATGTCATCTAAATCACATTCTTTTTGTAAGGATGTTTGACATAGATTACAGTAGTTATTCTGACATATAAAGACAAAATATTTGATACTAAAGGCTCTTTCAGCAAACAGATTTTTAAAAACACAGCAAACATCTTCAGCCAGACTGAATAAATGTAATTCATCCTTCTTAACAGATCACTCAGCTATTCATAATGCAGTTGCATTCTCGAACAGCTTGCTATCAAGCACTTCTTTCCAGCTGGCAATGAAAAGAGTAACTGTAACATGATGGAAGGTTCCTTCCATCTGAATTCTGCCTCTCTTGCCTATTTAAAATGAATCAGATTAATAACTGGTTTCTGGTTATCCACTTAATTTCCAGAATAAAGCAACAGCAATTGTTGAAGCAGAAATAACTGAAAAATTGGCTGACCCTTTTCAGCTTCTAATGAAAATGCTTCAGTAAATATTGCGCAGAAGAAAAGCATTCTCTTGTAATGAATTTTGCTACAAAGGAAATATTACCACTCAAGTTGTTTGCAGCATTTCTGTCTGTACTCTCAGGTGCCCATATGCCACTGTCGCA